AAGGGGGGGGGGGGGGGGGGGGGGGGGGGGGGGGGGGGAGGAAGGGTAGTGGGGAGTTACTAGCGAGAAGGGTCAACAGCAATGGGAAAGTCACTGCATAAGGAAAGGAATAATTTAAGCTATACGCTTGGGAGGTGTAGTATACGGGAAACGATTAGATCCAGCTGCCGAAAAATTAAAAAAAAAATGATAGAACTGTCAAAAATTAACAATTTTACCAAAGAGAGAGGGGGGAGGGGGGGTGGCAGCTTCGATTTTTGTATGTGCCTATCGTGGGAATTACTAAACGAGAATGCTCATGATGCTAAAAGAAGCGAGCTCGAGCGCTTACTCTGCATAATGGGAAAAGCAACCTAAAATTTTTATATGAAGAAAAAAGCGTTCTATATAAGAAAAAAGTATAAAATGGTTAATAAGACAATTCGAAAAATTGCATGAACAGCGTGTAATATCACACATATTTCACAGCTGAAACAAAATCTGAAAAGGATTACCAAAATTCCCAAACAGATCAACGAAAAATCCGCTTTTTCTTCATCACTTTTCAAAACTCTTAAGTTGGTAAGGTTACCTTATTGCCTCAGAATGACAGAACTGGTGGTGATTTGATAATATGGTAAAAACAGACCAGGGCTAAAAACCTTGTCAATCGCTTTTCTAAGAACTGTTCAGTGGGTAATCCTTCAGGAGATGAAATGAAATTTCAGTAGTACAAACAGAATGTGCATTAAAAAAAATACAACATTGGTTACAAAACATGAAAAAAGAAATTGCTAGCTGCAAATAACTGGAAAATCATCAGCTGTTTCAAGTAATCTTGATACCATGGAAAATTTTTTGGGAACAGGAAATCGATTCGATGCCCGATAATGAAAACTCAAAATGTTTCCCGGGGAAAATTACCCCAAAAATTACCCAATTTAATTTGTCTTGCGCAAAAAAGCAGCAGGGCTAAGAAGCAATCAATTGAAGTTTTAACAAGTACATTTAAAAACATCTTACGAAAAAATGTTCACTAAAAACAGCAAAAAAAAAAAACTGAGCGTTGCCCGAGCAATGTTGATAAAAAACACAAAAACCTCTCATCGTTGTGCACATTGAACGTCTGT